CCATGCCTGGCTAATTTTTGTATTTTTTGTATAGATGATTTTCCCATATTTCTCAAACTCCTGGGCTCCAGAAACCCGCCCAACTGGAACTCCCAAAATGCTAGGATTACAGGCATGAGAAATTGCACCTGGCCTGAGGTCTATCTCTTAACTATAATAACACTGGCTTCATATATTTGGGTATTCCAGTGTTGGATGCATGTATATATATAATCATTGCATTCTTTTGCTGTATTGACCCCTTTATCATCATGTAATGGCGACCTCTGTCTCTTCTTACAGTTTTTGTCTTAAAATCTATTTTTTCTATGGCTACTTCTGCTCTTTTTTGGTTTCCATTGGCACAGAATATCTTTTTACATCCCTTTATTCTCAGTTTGTGTATCTTTATAGGTGAAGTGTGTTTCTTGTAGGCAGCAGGTCATTGGGTCTTGTTTTTTAACCCATTTAGCCACTCTATGTTTTTTTATTGGAGAGTTTCGTTTATTTACATTTAGTTTTATTATTGATAAGTAGGGACTTACTCCTGCCATTTTGTCATTTGTTTTCTGATTGTTTTACAGTCTTCTTTTACTTCTTCCCTTCCTTCCTTGTCTCCCCTTTAGTGAAGGTTATTTTCTCAAGTAGGTATGATTTAATTTCTTGCTGTTTATTTTTTGTGTATCCATTGTGTGTTTTTCAATTTTAGGTTACCATGAGGCTTGCAAATACTATTAATGTCTTATAACCCATTTTTTTTTGTTTTATTTTTATTAATTTATTTTTTGAGGTGGTGTTTCACTCTTATTGCCCAGGCTGGAGTTCAATGGCATGATCTTGGCTCATTGCAACCTCCGCCTCCTGGGTTCAAGCAATTCTCCTGCCTCAGCCTCCTGAGTAGCTGAGATTACAGGCATGCGCCACCACACGCAGCTAATTTTGTATTTTTAGTAGAGATGAGGTTTCCCATGTTGGTCAGGCTGGTCTTGAACTTCCGATCTCACGTGGTCCGCCCGGCTCAGCCTCCCAAAGTGCTGGGATTACAGGTGTGAGCCACCACGTCCGGCATAACCCATTATTTTAAACTGATGACAGCTCAACACTGATTGCATAAACAAACATGCAAAAAGAAAACTAATAAAAACTGTACACTTTAACTTCATCCCTCTGCTTTTTAACTTTTTGTTGTTTTTCTTTATGTTTTATTGTACTGTCTATGTCTTAAAAAGTTGTTATTATTTTTATTGGTTTATCATTTAGTCTTTTTACTTCAGGTAAAAACACAGAATATTGTAACACTGTATAATTGTGGCATGTGGGAGTTTACATGCCACAATTACAGTGTTACAATATTCTGTGTTTTCTGTGTGCTTACTACTACCACTGAGTTTTGTATCTTCAGATGATCTCTTATTGCCATTAACATACTTTTATTTCAGATGGAACAACTCCTTTTAGCATTTCCTGTAGGACAGGTCTGGTGTTGATGAAATCCCTCAGCTTTTGTTTGTCTGGGAAGGTATTTATCCCTCATGCTTGAAGGATGATTTTGCTGGATATAGTGCTCTAGAGTAAAGTTTTTTTCTTTCAGCACTTTAAATATATCATTACTACTTTCTCTAGCCTGTAAGGGTTTCACTGAAGGCCTGCTGCTAGATTTATTGGTGCTTCATTGTATGTTTTTGTTGTTGTTTTCTTTTCTCTTGCTGCTTTTAGGGTCCTTTCTTTATCCTTGACTTTTGGGCATTTGGTTATTAGATGCCTTGAGGTAGTCTTCTTTTGGTTAAATTTGCTTGGTGTTCTATAACCTTGTACTTAAATATTGATATCTTTCTCTATGTTTGGAAAATTTTCTGCAATTATTCCTTTGAATGAACTTTCTATCCTTGTCTCTTTCTCTATGTCCTCTTTAAGGCCAATAACCCTTAGATTTTCGCTTTTGAGGCTACTTGCTAGATCTTACAGGTGTGCTTTGTTCTTTTTTGTTCTTTTTTCTTTTGTCTTGAGTATTTTCAAATAGCCTGTCTTCAAGCTCACTAATTCTTTCTTCTGTCTGATCAATTCTGTTGTTAAGAGATTCTATTGCATTCTTTAGTATTCCGTTGCATTTTCCAACTGTAGAATTTCTGCTTGATTGTTTTTAATTATTTCAATCTCTTTCCTAAATTTATCTGATAGAATGCTGAATTCCTTCTCTGTGTTATCTTGAATTTCCTTGCATGTCTTCAACACAGCTCTTTTGAATTATCTGTCTGAAAGGTCACATATCTCTGTTTCTCCAAGATTGGTCCCTGGTACCTTATTTAGTTCTTTTGGTGAGGCCATGTTTTCCTGCAGGATCTTGATGCTTGTAGATATTTGTTGGTATTTGGGCATTGACAAGCTAGGTATTTATTACAGTCTTTGCAATCTGGGCTTGTTTGTGCCTGTCCTTCTTAAGAAGGCTTTCCAGGTAGTCGAAGGAACTTGGGCCCCACGCCCAATAATGCTGTGGTTTTTGCAGATTCATAGAAGTACCACCTTGGTGGTCTTGGATAAGAAAAATCTGGAAGAATTCTCTGGATTACCAGGCAGAGACTTGCTCTTTTCTCTTACTTTCTTCTGAACAAATGGAGTCTTTTTCTCTGTGCTGAGCCACCTGGAACTGGGGTATGTTGATGTAAGCACCTCTGTGGCCATTACTACTGGGACTGCTGGGTCATACTTGAAGTCAGCACAGCACAAGGTCTTGCCCAAGGCCTGCTGTAACCACTACAAGGCTGCCACCTGTGTTCACTCAAGGCCCTAGAGCTCTATAGTCAGCAGGTGATGAAACCAGCCAGGTTTGTGTCCTCCCCTTCAGGGTAGCAAGTTCCCCCAGGTCCCAGGTGGTTCCAGAGATGTCTGGAAGCCAAGGATTGGAGAAAAAAAGCCTTAGAGATTTCTTAGCACTTTGGGAGACCAAGGTGGGTGGATCACCGAGGTCAGGAGTTTGATACCAATCTGATCAACATAGCAAAACCTGTCAAGAGGACAGAGACCATGTTGTATGTCTTGTTCACCACTGTATCCATACTACTTAGCACTCAATAAGTATTTGTTTAAGTAAAATTAAATTTTAGCTGGGCATGGTGGCTCACACCTGTAATCCCAGCACTTCTGGAGGCTGAAGTGGGAGGATCACTTAAGGCCAGAAATTCCAGACCAGCCTGGACAAACATGGCAAAACCCCATCTTTACTAAAAATACAAAAATCAGCCAGGTATGCCTGTGCATGCCTGGAATCCCAGCTACTCAGGAGGCTGAGGTGGGAGAATTGCTTGAACCTAGGAAGCAGAGGTTGCAGTAAGCTGAGATCATGCCACTGCACTCCCTGGGTGACAGAGCAGACTCTTTCAAAAAAAAAAAATAATAATAAAAAACCTTAGAGATTTGCCTGATGTTCTATTCTGCAGCCATGCTGGCACTCCAACCACCATACTAAGTCCTTCCCACTCTTCCCTCCATTTGCCACAGGCAGAGAAGCCTCTTCCTATGGCCACCACCACAAGTCATTCTTATATACACAGAGGTTAGTATAATAATGCAGCAAGGAATTCCCAGGCAAATCGGTTATTTTGTGTCTTGTATTCCTTCTGTAGGTTTGCTAAAACAAACAATACTCCAAGGTGATCCAAATCTGAATCAGTGAAACAGTTTGATGAAGTACTTTTTTTTTTTCCTTTTTGAGATGAGGTCTCTCTGTGTTGCCCAGGATGGTCTCTAACTCCTGGGCTCACACAATCATGTCGCCTCTGCTACCTGAGTAGCTGGGACTTCAGGCTAATGAAACAGTTTGATAAAATCATAATCTTCTAGGAACTTTCTTCTGTTTAGTCCTTAAAATCTGAAGATGTATAGGACAGATGGACTTTTTGATGTAGCTCTCTAGAGGTAATTATTTTCTTTAAAACAGCTAGGATCATTCTCTTACTTATCAGACATATGCTTTTCCAGCCTCATACAATCTCCCCTGTCCTCTGAGGGCTGGTGATTGTTTCTGTCCTCTTACCTTCACTATCTTAGAAGGAAGAGCTGAGTTTACATGGGTGATATGGTACAGTGAACAACATGATTACTAAAGAGTTAGGTTTTAAGCCACTCCATTAAGCCTGAACTGACATAGAGTAGTCGCAGGAATGTAAGTCAGGGACATTAAGAAACCCTTTCCTGTAATCTTTCATACCAGTTATTACCCAGGGTGGAACATGTAATAATATTTTTTATAACAGTCTGATTATATTTTCTGCCATTTTTTCATTGGGAATTTGAACATTGCAGGTTAACTCATAAAATTGTGAAAGGGCAAGATAAACATATGATACAATATATTTAATTAAGATAGCAAAACCTTTCTATACCTTCTTATAATGGCTTGTAGTAGATTTGGAGCAGAACTTCCACTTGCTAATGTTCGGCTAGGCCCAGGTTTGGCATATGGAAGGGGCAGTTTATTAGAATAATGGTGCTCCTACTCAGGGAAGAAACAGCATCTGTAATACTCAGTGTGATCAGAAACGTGACCTTCATGAAATTTCAAATAGAAGTAAATTTGATGTACTTTATCATGTGGACCAATTCTAGCCAACTATTGTGAATATGAGATTAGGACCAGAAAACTCAGGGTCTGCTTCTGATGGCAGTATCCCTAGAGGATCTGGTCTTTATAGTCTATCCTTGGAATGAACCAGGTGAGATGTTTGGGCCCAGCCAGATCGTTGGGTTCGTTGTAGATTCACACAGACTTAAATGACTTGGCTGTATCATCCACAGAAATAAGGATGAACTATGGCCAATTCATTTCATTCTACTTCTTGAAGTGAGTAGGACTGTAGAATCAAAGTTAAAAGCCATAATGAAGATCACATACTGGGCTGTCTATCAGGTAAGGCCCAGATTAACATTTATAGACTTAACTCACTCTATTTGCTTCTTTTTTTTTTTTTTTTTTTTTTTTTTTTTTTTTTTTTTTTTTTTTTTTTTTTTTTTTTTTTTTTTTTTAGGCTACAACTGAGGTGGAAATTAAGAAGAAAGGCCCTGGATCTCTTTTAGTTTCCATGGATCAACTAGCCTCCTACGGGCGGAAGGACAGAATCAACAGTATAATGACTGTTACAAATACACTAGTAGAAGGTATGTGCCCTGTGATGTCAGTCCAGCCTGCTGAGATATAAATATATAATGTGCATGGCAAATATAATCCCTGTCTCTTGGTTTGAGTTTTGCAAAAGCTGTTTCTGAGCTTTAGGAATAGAGTCTATTCCTATATAGAAACTAGAATCACAAATTTCCTTCCTAAATTTACATGCGGAGAATCAAATACATGGGCTTCAGATATGCTTGTTGTGCACAGGCCACAAGATTGTAGGTAAGAGATACGAAAGGAGCTGCACGAGTGAGCAAGAGGATCTCAAGACGCTTGTCATTGTCATCATTAGGAGCCAGTGGGGTGCTGTAAGGCACAAAGGAATGTAGATTGAAGAGCTGCAAAGCTATAAAATGATGGAATTTCCCTTATGGCCCCTAACCCAAAACATACCTTCCATTTTTCCTTTTTAACTACTTACAGCCCTTTTGGTTTTCCCTTAAGGAAGAATGTACTGTGCATTTTGATTGCACCTAGTTCTGTCTCTCTTCAAACACCCCCACATATCCATAAATATATTTGATGTGTGACTAGGTAAGTTGAAACCCTTCTTACTTTGAGCACTCTGTGCCACAGGGAAAGAGCAACCACTGTTGAATCATAGCACGTCTGCAGTAATGTTGCTGTCAGTGGCTGAGTTCTCTGTATTAGGTGGATTCTCTATGATACAACCTGGTGTGCTGAGGAATACCTGAAGATTTTCCATTAGACCACAGTCACACAGGCAAGAATCGGCTCCTCTCCAGTTGTGGTCTGTAGTCCAGGATCCTCGTGCTTTCTTTAGAGGGAAATTCAGTGACAGATTTTGTCTCCCAAGAGTCTGATAGATTCTACACATATCTTCTTAGATTCTACACATATCTTCTTCTTGGATTTATATTGATTTAACTGAGTTGTCTCATTGTAGGTCTGGATTATTCTTGAGGCCTCAAATTGCTGTTCTTCAGAGTACAGATGCCCAGAATAACCAAAGTCCCTGAGATAGGGAAACTCAAAATTGTCCTGGCATCCTTGAGACAAGTTATTTTTTTAGCCAATTAAACCCAGTGCCCCTTCTATTCTGTGTGTATGTATACGTGTGTGTGTGTATTGGGGAGGGGGGTGCAGTGGAGGGAGAATCCCTAGAAAAGAATTATCTAAGGGGGCTTACTTCACCATTTATGTGCAAAGGATGAGACTATAACTAGAGTAACCTTGAGAATACATCAAGTAAAAAAATGAATTCACTGCTTTCAGCTGCCTGAACAACTTCTATTTATTCCTGTTTTCTTTAATTTCCATTGAGGTTATTGTCTGATAGAACATCTTCAAGCTTTGTAGCTTATACTTTGAGATTGTAAGCAAATAACTACGAGTCCTAAAATTCCAAGCTAAGAAATGATAGCCTAAGAACTTTGGCTAATTTTATTATTCACATAGAGACCAAGACAGGATTTCTCTGAGTATCTGTGCAGTTGAGAAAGAAAAAGAATCTTCAGCAGGCACATTTTATTATTAGCAGAGACATCAGAACAGCATAACTGTCAATACAATGCAACAGTTATTTATTTCTTACTGTAGTGGCTTAGTGCAGGTTGCAGCAAAAGTAGATGCTCAAACAATGTTTGTCAAGCAGATGTTGGCTGTGCTTGGGATGGTAGGAGTGCTGGTGCTGCAGGGCTCCTTCTGCAAGCTTTAGAGCTTTCATCCCTTTACTGAGTTGGATAGAAACCATTGGGGCATTTTAAAAGTCTCTTCTCCCAGTTCTTTCTCTTTCTGTCCTGCTGTGCTCATTCTCCGCCCTCTACCCACCATCACACACATTAAAAAAAAAAAAAGAAAAAAAAGATGTAAGGGTAGCTCAGGAGACAGAGACAGATGTAGTTGTGTTCCTGAGTAGGAAGATACTATTCCAGTTCTTTGTCCTGTTTCCCAAGCGCTGATGTTCACATAGTTGTATCTGTCCTGCCATTTCCTGCTCAGGCATTCCTCTTGTCCTTGCACCTTGTATTTGTCTCTTTGTTAAAGCTGATGGGACCAACCTGCTATAAACAAAGAGCAATGAATGGCTGACCAGAATAATATAAGAAGGAATGAAACATCCACGCCTGTTTAACCATTGGGCCCTATATTTAATGCTTGCTACAACATTAAAAGCCAGCATTGAACGAATTGCAGTTCTTGCTCTCAGACTTTCAGTTAGGAAACTCTGACATTATTTTAATCTGAAGATTAAAATTATTATTATTTAAAACCCAAGAGGCAGGCTCCTACTTAGCTAATAGTTTAGAAACCACAGTGGAGAATTCCAGAATTCTGTCAGTAATGAGAAAACCCTGCCTGCTCTGCCCCTCCCCATCCTGTTGCAAACATGCTCACCAGGATCCAGTACATTTAGTAGAGTTCACCACTAGCAGAGCTATAAGCTTTGGGGATATTTCAGAGGACTGTGCGTGGGGTGTAGGCAGAGTAGGGAAGTCTCACTGTTCAAAGCAGTGAAGCTGTGTAAAAAGGGGAGATCGTGGTGCAGTAAGAAAGAAGAAGTAGTTATGTACTTGACATTACTGATTTTCAATATCAAGGAAGTACTTGACATTATTGATTCTCAGGTAAAACAATTTCAAAAGCTCCCCTAGAGGTAACTGGCCATAGCTGTTGCTGCCACTATTTATGTATTCTTTTATTTAACTGACAAGCATCAAGTGTCAGTATAGTTACCTAGCTGATGTCAGCCTTTCCTGTGTGGCAGTAAGCTTAGTGAGGGCAGGGGCTCTTCATCAGTGTATCCTCAGTGCCCGGCACATTGCAGGTACTTAAAGGTTGTTGAATTCAGTTGAGAGAAGCTCCTGTCTTCAGAAACCTCGTGGTCTACCAAAGCCACCATCTTGGTGGAATTGTGAGGTCCTCTCTGAAAACAATTCCCAGTACCCCTGAGGTTGAGACCTAGAGTAACCACTCTGAAAATATCCAAAAGCAAAATAAGAGAAACCCCACAAACCTTTGGACATCTCACCCCTAAATGTCAACCCTTTCCCCCAAACCAAATACTTAGCCATTCCAGGCATATAAAACCAGTAACAATTTGCAAAGTCATAAGTCACTTGACAAACCTTCTCATTCCCCAAATGATCTTTTCTACCTCCTGAAGCTCCACATTGGCTTACTTTTTGTGGGAGTGAAAGATTATCCTGAAGATCTTCCCTTCTCAGTAAATATGGTTAAGAGATGTCTGGTATCCCTAGAGGAATTTTCTTGGTGCCCTGTAGGGCAAGAAAACCCCTCTTTGCTGTGTGGCAAGACTCAAGACCTAGTTCATTGTAAAACATTACACTTGTGTCAACTGTCAGATGTGAACAGTCGCAGCTTCAACCTCCACGTGCCAATGAGCAGCAGACGTTTGAAAAAGGGGGGACATCTAAAAGGAACGGAACTAAATTTCCAAATATGTACTGTAAGAATTTAAGGAAATAAAGGAACCTTGTCATTTTCTTTTTTGGGGGAGAAAACTATATTTACCTTAGGAAGGGAGGGAGTTCTCTGAGGAAGAAGCCACAGCAGATTTTCCTCACAGACTTCCTTTCCCACGCAGCCTCCCACGTGGCGCTTACAGCGGTCCTTAAATCTGAAAACCAAGGCAACCATTTTCTTAGCAACCAGGGAGCCAATCAGAAGCTCAGCCAAAACCACCTTGTCTAAAATAAAATATCGCCATCCAGCTGGTTGGAAAAGGGAACGTAGGCTAATTTAAGGTAGCCATCTTGGTTTTGGTGAAATGTTGGGGAATTTTTTTTTTCCCTAAATGATTTGATAGTGTCAGCAGAATTGGGCAGGGAGAGAGTAGCTGTTACAGCCAACCCTGTAGAATCAATACCTCACAGTCTGACAGGTTTTCAAAGTTCACTTCTTAAAAAGCATCCTCTTAGCTCAAGGTCCTTGGAATTTTGTAATCCTGACAATTGTATTTCAAGCTTAATTTGAGGAGAGCTTTGTTATGTAGGGCCTCATACCTAGATTGTTGTAACTGCCAGTTGAGTGTCTGTCTTTGATGTCTGATAATTCTTTTGAATCTTTGCTTTGGAAATATCTTTGAGATCATCTAGTCCAGTGATTTTTCAGTCTGTGTGTATCAGAGTCTTGGGACTCTAGAGAAGTGCTTCAAGAGAGGAAGAAATCTATCCGAGTGGGCTCCTGCTTCCTCTGGGGCAATTCCTGGTTTATTTTCTATATTGGGGATCATGTGAGATCTTGTTTGGAAAAAAACAGGTTCTGCTTCTAAAAGAGACAGAGAAGATAAGACAAAGGAGAGAAAGAAAAAGGAAAGAAGATGATGACCCAGGAAAGGAAGGAGGAAGAAGTTATAGAAAGAAAGAGAGAGGCAAAGGATGAGAGCAGGAAAGGGCAAAGGGGCAAGAAAGGAGATGGGAGGAGACAGAAAGAGGAAGGAACGGGGAAAAGGGGAGAGTAATGTGGTTTGTATTTCTAACTTGACTGTGAGCTGTAAACTTGTTGAGGGTGGAGACAATAACTTGCACTTCTTTGAGAACATAGCAGATGTGTTTTACATGTTGGCTTGGTTGATGATGCTAGTTCTGCTGATGAAGATAATAACAATAGCAAACACTTCCATGGCACTTTTTATCTTCCAGAGTATTCTAGGGCACTTTACATATATTTTAGCTCATTTAATTCTCATGGCAAATCAAAGTAACTTGTTCAGGGTCCCACAGTTAGCAAGTGTCTGAACTAGTATTTGAACTCAAATATGTCTGGCTTGAGTTCATGCTTTTGATGGCGTCTCTGACAATAATTGAATAGTAAAGTGTATAATAAAGTACCTACCATTTACTGAGGACTTACCCTGTGCCAGGTACTGTGCTGACTGCTTTCCAACAGCGTCTCATTAAATCTTTAATCAAACTCACATCAAAATGAGGTTACAGGACTCATACAGTCCTGTAACCTGTAAATTGATGCTTTGTTTTACAGCTGAGGCAGATCAGCAGAAGTCAGTTACCTTGCCTGGGATCACACAACTTGTAAGCATTCAAGCCAGTTGAGGCCAGAGAGTCAGACCTGAGAGGCCAAGCTCCTGACCTCTGTGCTCTACCCCCATAACTGATGGGTTGAGTTTCATTTGTAAACTTAACCCATCACTTATTAACAGGGAGGCAACTTGTATGGATCATGCCTCCTCTCTACCTTAGAGAGAAGGAAAACACTTAGAAATATCCATGCTCAAACAACCTTGATTCCCTATTAATAATGGTGATAATGACTATGAGGGTGAGTAGTGTGTCCTCCTGGTTTTCTCAGTGTAATTGAGGGGCCATCTTTGTTCTTACTTACTATAGAACTGGAAGAGTCTCAGAGAAAGTGCCCGCCATGCTGGTATAAATTTGCCAACACTTTTCTCATCTGGGAGTGCCACCCCTACTGGATAAAACTGAAAGAGATTGTGAACTTGATAGTTATGGACCCTTTTGTGGATTTAGCCATCACCATCTGCATCGTCCTGAATACACTGTTTATGGCAATGGAGCACCATCCTATGACGCCACAATTTGAACATGTCTTGGCTGTAGGAAATCTGGTAAGATGGAACACTGTCTCCCGATATTAGGATTGGAATGTGTTTTGCCTGTAGGACATCTTTTTCTGGTACTGAAAGCTGGAGTTTCTTTGAAAAGAAAGTAATAGTTAATTGGAAGATGAATGCTTCCACATATGCCAGGGCACCAGCTGCTTTTCTGCTAACTGTTGTGATCCCTTTCCTCTTTCTGCAGAACTTTGAAGACGTCATTTAGGAGCTATTGGCAGAAAACCAATGTTGGTGACAGAATGGGAGGTCTGGTACAGTGGGCTGGTTTCAGCAACCTGAGCCAAGGACTTCTAGATTTTTTCCTCATTCTGTTTCTCACATTGATTCCTGCATTACTCCAGCACATCAGTTCTCCTTTCACCTTAACCACAAAATAGGGGTGCCCTTGTAGTATATTACATAGAACTACGGATTTGCCTGCTCTGTCAGGCCTTAGTTACCTAAATAGGGACTATTTATGGGGAAAATTTCCCTCAAGGCTGGTTTCCCCCTCCAGTCCAACTTCTGGGCCATTATCCAGTTTCTGCCATTAGTTGATCGTTGCCAAATTTATTTTAATGTTAGCTCAAGTTCTGTATTTATTATATAAAGATAAGTGTGTCGTTTTTAAATGATAGACTACAAAGTGTGTATTCTGAAATCAAGTAGCTATGATTTCAGGATTACGTGTTTTCTTTACTGCAAAAATCAGGGGTTGATTGAATTTTGATAGATAGTAAAGAAGTAGTTAGAAAGAATCCCCTAGGTCACCTGGGCCCCCTGATTCCTTAGGTGTTATACCACAGGCATGTCCAAATCTAGCTGTTACTCTTTATTAATAATTTGAGCATGATTTCTGCCCAGTGTTTCTTGTGTGTACTCTCTTTCTCTCTCTCTCTCTCTCTCTCTCTCTCTCTCACACACACACACACACACACACACACACACACACACACTTTTGACCTTAAGTCCTATTGTTAAACCATTAGGACATTATGATATCATTTTCATTTCTCATTCTGAAAACACATGACAAAGATATCCTTTGTAGCCAACTGTGTTTCCTGGTATACATCCAAGATGATTCTGTGGTCTTTCCAGTCTCCATGTCTAGGGTTAGTGACATGCTCCAGGCTCTCTGCTATGATCTAAACCCTTGTGTGCAGTCCAGTGGAATGCCTGTAGTCTTGAAATGGGACGCTCCCACAGGCTGTCCAAGAAATCTGCTGACTGGCCCTGAAAGGTGCCTGTGAGTGGGCACATGCCGTGACTGGCTGACATAGTACCTTGGCCATCAAGTAGAATTTTAAAACTGTCAACAATATCATATAAATATAAGCTTTATTTTAGTAGCCAAGAGTTAAGTAATGAGAAATATGTCTTGATAATTTTTATTGTTCCTGTTGGTGGTTCTGTTTTCCCTGTAGAGTTTTGTTTTTCTCAAAATCTTTACTTTTCCTTGCTTTTTACAGAACCAGTCTTTGATTTTCAAGGGATTTTGAGAGACTTTTTCAGCTACCCCATCGAACTCCAGTCATACTAGGCTAGCAAATGATGTTATTTTTCCTTTCATGAATATTTAGAGATTTAGGATGACACTTAAATTAGAATAGTGAGTATTCAGAAGACTTTTCTCAGAACCATCAGTAAAGTAAGAGGACAGAAGAGAAGGTCGGCAGCTAATATTCAGGGACTCCATGAGATGAACCAACCCAGAACTAAGTTCTAAAATAAGAAAGCTCTTAGGTGGCAAGAGTTTTCAAAGGGCAAGTAAATGTACCATTAGCAGTGGGAGGGGGAGTAGTATATGGTCCAGCATACTTCGTTCTAGATGTGAGGGTAAAAGGAAAGAAATCAAGAATGGTGCCTAGATGTGGGGGGTTAATGACTGAGGAAAAAATGGAATGACTGCAAAGGAACTGGCTTGACGTGTAAAATCAAGAGTTCTGTTTTGGGCATATTAAGTGTCTATTCACTGAGTGGAGATGCCAAATAAGGAAGTTGGGTATGTGCTGGACCTCATGAGTGTTTTCTGGAAAATACCAGGAACTCAAAGATATGCTTTGCTGCCAATCAGTATTACCACTGAGTTTGGCAGAAAGAACACAGAATTAGAAGTCAGAAGATTTGGGTTTTGGTTCCTATTGGATATTGTATAACTTTAAATAAGTCATTGATTTCTGTCCAGAAGTGTTTCTTATCTGTAAAGTTAGGATAATACCATGTCATCATTGGTTGGAAAGATAAAATGAGAACTATACAGAAGTCTTTGAAATAGTTAAAAGTACCTTATAAATCTTAGGAACTCTGTTAGTATAATTCAGTAGGAGAATTTTCAGAGATTTGAAGATTTGGGTAGAGCCTTTGACTGAACCTGAGAATTAGAGGATGAAAAAAATGAGACTGACTTGTGAAATAAAGTACGGCGTTGCCTTATGGCTGGAATGTGAGGCTTTTCCTATAGCCCTGATTGTCAGTTAAGTTGTCTTTGTCTATAGACATGCAGAAATATGTTTTTAAAGAAAGATGAGAACCGTCTTGTGCAAATATAAGATCCCTGCCTCTTCTGCCCTCCCCCAAAGAGAAAATAATAAAAGAAAGAACCTTAGAGATAATTCAATCCAATCCCCATGTTTTATAGAGGAAATTGAGGTCTAGGGAAGCTGTGTGACTTATACAACCGTTGTGTTACATAGTAGATAAATATAATGATTCTTTTCCTGCCTTTTTTGCAACTAATTGAATAGAACAGTAAGTTTAGGAGGTGACTTTTTAAACATTCTGAATCTTATAGGGAAGTTTCAAGTACAGTACACAACTTTTTTTTTTTAACAATAAAAGCCTTATCACATAGCCTTATCACCCCCAAATACTTATAGTGTGTATTTTTTATAAACAAGTACATTCTCCTACCTAACCCTAGTATAACTGTCAAAACCAGGAAATTAACATTGACACATTACAACCATCTAATTCTCAGGCCCTATTCAAGTTTTACCAACGATTCCAGTGGCATCCTCTATAACAAAAGGATGCAGTTTTAGGATTGCCCCATTACATGGAGCTGTCACGTCTCTTTAATTCTCTTCAGCCTAGAGGAGTTCCTCAGTCTTTCCTTGACTTTCATGTCTTGACATTTTGAAGACTACAGGCCACTTGTTATGTAGAATTCCCTCAGTGTGGGCTTATCTGATGCTTCCTTATGATTAGATGCAGGTTCTGCATTTTGGTAGAAATATCGGCCAGGCGCGGTGGCTCACACCTGTAATCCCAGCACTTTGGGAGGCCGAGGCAGGTGGATCACGAGGTCAAGAGATTGAGACCATCCTGGTCAAAATGGTGAAACCCTATCTCTACTAAAAAAATACAAAAAATCAGCTGGGTATGGTGGCGCGTGCCTGTAATCCCAGCTGCTCAGGAGGCTGAGGCAGGAGAATTGCCTGAACCCGGGAGGCGGAGGTTGCGGTGAGCCGAGATTGCGCCATTGCACTCCAGCCTGGGTAACAAGAGCGAAACTCC